TCCCTTGTACCTTCCCCTCAGCAGTTTCTTTATCAGAGAAAACCAGAGTGTCTCCTCTTCACCAAGTATTGGAGATCCTCAGTACTCGACGGGATGTAGTCTCTGAATTGTTTTCAGTCGTCTTAGTCGTTTGAGTTTCTTTAGTTAGCCCCATAGAGACATTGCTCCCTGCCCAAGTAATGCATGAAAATGGGTTAGAAATCATCATATAAAATGGACATTATAAAATTGTTTGTCTAGTATGTCATCATGTGGAACAATTCAGAAATTTTCTAGTCCAGAATTGCCACATAATCAAGGAATTAATGCATTATTTAGGTTACCAAAGTACTTAAACAATTAAATTTAGAAAGTACTAACTAGTTTTATACCAATTTTATGTGCATATCTTGGGAAAATACTACATAAATATATATAATTAGAAATAGAGATCTCTTTATGATCATGCAGCTTATCACTGCATATTCTAGTTGATTTCCATATCAAAAAACAAAAACACATTGCCAAGAGTCTTAGCTACCTAAATAGGTATTCTTGGAGGAGAGACCTCCTTCAATTGCTGCTGCAAAAGTTGATTTCATTTACTTAGAAATGACTTCAACACTCAAGGCCAGCATTTTTAATCAGTCACAGTGTTCTTCTCTGAGGAGCACCTGGTATCCTCAGAATCCTTCTTGACACAGTGCTTCCATGGTAGTCACTACCAATCCATTACCGTTGGCTGCAGAAAGGAAACCACTATTTGCCTTTCCCTCCTTAGATGCTGGTTGTTTTTAGGGACCCAGTGCCTGCAAGGCTTAGTGGTTGCCACTAGATGGCACAAGTGCTTTGTCAAGGGAGTCCTTAAGGCCCAGGTGTCTCTCTAGAATCTGTTCCCTTGCAGTGAGTGGTTCCACACCTAAATACCCCAGGTTGTTTTTAACCACTCACAGGAGCTATTGACTTATTTTCTCAGTCCAACTGGTGAAAACTTATCTCTGTACCCTTGGACTCTGTACACTTCTCAAAAACTAGAAGTCTAAGGAAGAAAATCTGAGGTCATATTCTTGTCTTGCCTTCTTGTGAGAGGCCATTTTTATACTTTGATGTCTGCAGTATGTTTCCCTTTTAGTGTTGTTTCCATGTTATTCCAGGAAGATGCTTTTACTAATTCTTTTTTTTCCTTCTTATTCAATTTTTCTGAGCCTTAGTTTCCTCACTGATAAAGAGGGGTTAAAAATATACACTGCAGGAGAGTTGTTGTAAAGGTTGAAAGTGATTTACTTAAAATATTATATATTTTAACATATCAGGATTTTTTTTTAGCATTTTAATAGCATCATTGTCAGATTTTGGCTGTTACAGGCACACTGTATACTTTTTTTTTTTTTATATAAGAGAGAGTTTAGGAACTACCTCTCTTTTGTTTTTGTTAATTAATCTGAAAAATTCCTTCACTGACTCCTAAATAACTTATATTCTTCCATGTCTTGTTCTGAGTTCAGGAGTAGTTCGCCATTTGTATTTGTGATTGTAAAAAAACTTGTATTTTGGTTCAGCTTGGACTGTTCAAGCTCTAACAGCCCAGCTCTTGGGGTAGCATTTGAGTACCTCTAGTGCTACTATTGTTTTCTACACGAAGTTTTAATTTTTAGGTGTGAAACTATTTCTTTAAAAAAATTTTTTTAAATGTTTATTTATTTTTGAGAGAGAGAGAGAAACAGAGTGTGAGTGGGAGAGAGGGAGATACAGAGTCCGAAGCAGGCTTCAGGCTCCTAGCTGTCAGCACTGAGCCCGACGCAGGGCTCAAACCCAGGAATCGTGAGGTCATGACCTGAGCCGAAACCGGACACTTAACCGACTGAGCCACCCGGGCACCCCTGTAAAACTATTTCTGCCCTCTCTGTACTACCAGAGTGCTTCGCCTTAACCATATTATTACTGGTTTACATAACTTAACGCTTTTTCTGATGTCTGTGAGTGCTAAGCACATAGTAGGCACTAAATGTTTATTGTGTTTATTATTACTCTGTATCACTGTTTATTAATAAAACACTATTCCATAGAGGAGAAAGACAATAAGTTATCTTGTGGCCTCTGTAAGTTCCTCTGTTGTTAGGGCTAGTCATCAGTTTGAGGTGTTAAGCCTTAATTGGAACTATAAGTACCATGAATAAATTTAAATGATTGTGAATTCCAAAGATAATGTTTCCATTTCACATGCCTCAGTCTCCTTTTCTCTTTACCAACACTGTAATCAAGGCCTAGGGTCTTATTTAAGCTAACAAATAATTATCCTTCATTACATAAGTAGTATGTAACTTGACCTTAAAAGGCTGCTTAACTTGACTAGATGGCAATGAATCTAGCCCCCAGCTGTGTCTACTTTCGCACTGTCTTGGTACCTGTGAATAGGAGCTGATTTGGGGAGAGGCTGGGGAAGTTGCCTCACACTTCCCTCTCATCTGGAACGTATTGGTGATTTCAGGCCATGGAACTGCGTGGTCTTGCACGTATTTGATTCCTCTTGGGTTCAGAATGCATTTAAAATCTGGGCTTTTTGCTTGCAGACCACAAGCTATTTAGACACACATTTTCTGAGAAGTACTCATTGCTTATCTCATCTTTGAGTATTACTAAAACTGGATAAAAACAAAACTTGAATATGAGATGTGGATAATATATGATGACATTGTTGGGAAATGGACAATATATTTTAAAAAATTATAGGTATTACAAATGGACTAGTGCGATAAAAATAAAGATTTCAGTAAACATTTCTTTGAACTTGGAGTGGCTAAGAATTAAGCACGAAAACAGTAGAAAGAGCATCAAGAGAAAAAAATGTTAGGTTTAAATTAGTACACAAATTGAAAGTTTCACTGTGTTGAAAATCAAGAAATTGGGTTAAAAATATGTGTGGCAGACAAAGCTGTGGTATTTTTAACATGAATAACTCCTCCCTTGGACCTATAATGAGGCACACTAAAATAAAAACAATGTTACAATTATTATGAACACTAATATTTATTTTAAAATATGTGATATGCTGGACATGCTTCTGGGGGCTTGCCATGCATTTTAGTCCTCATAATAATTCTTTGAGGTAGGCTATTATTTCATTTTACAGATGAGGAAACAGAGGCACAGGGAGGTTAAGTAACTTGGCCATGCTTGCATAGCTAGTGAGTAGCTAGTAAATTGTGTACTGTTTCTGTGAATGCATGGCTTTCTTTTTATCCCATGAGTGTGGTTCTGCAATCCGTTCTCTTTTTTTTTTTTAATTTACTTATTTTTGAGAGAGAGAGAGTGTGAGCCAGGGAGGGGCGGAGAGAGAGAGGGAGATACAGAATCCAAAGCAGGTCCCAGGCTCTGAGCTGTCAGCGCAGGGCCCCATGCGGGGCTTGAACCCACAAACTGTGAGATCGTAACCTGAGCCGAAGTCACTGAGCTACCCAGATGCCCCTGCAATCCATTCTCTTAACCACTCTCCTATGGTGCTTAAAATAGGCAAAGGACAAGAAAGGAAGTTTTTAAAAAGAAATAAAGTGACTCAAAAGCATGACAGATTTTCACTTTCACTAATGATACAAATGCACATTAAAATAAAAATGAAACATGACTTTCTCTTATGAATGGAGTGTTGAGAGTAAGACATTTTCACGGAATGGTGGTAGGAATGCATTTCTTCCAGTATGGGGTTGGAGTGCTTATCTCATCTGGTGTCCTTAGCCACTAGCCCTTCCTGGCAGAAGGCGGGTGGGGGCGGGTGGCGGGAAGCAATGCTGCAGGGCTGAACTGGAAAGTCTCCTGTTTGAGGCAGTTAGGAAGGTGTCATTGCCTTGGTCACTCTTCTGGAAAACTCTGCAGAAGATACTGCACAGTCAGGTTTGTTTTTTTTTAACTGTAGGTGTGCAGTAGGTTGCATTACTGGCCCAAAGAGCATGGGGTCAAGGCTGTCCTTTCTCAAAACGAGTAGGGTCTGGCCAGTGACAGTTGCACGTATAGGAGGCTGATGGAGGCTTGTAAAGGCTTTCTTTTGAGGAAGTCGCACTGAAGAGCTTGCCAGGGTTTCAGCTTTGATAATAAAATTTAAATTGTAAGTATGTTGTGGCATTATGAACTCAGAAATTTCATAAATCTGTGCTCAGTAGCCTCAACTGTTGACGAATGGTTCTTGATGTTTAGCTTGGTACAAGATGCAAGGAATTTAGGTCTACTTTCTTTATTCAAACTCAGTAAATGGTTTGGGACAATTAATTTCCAATTGTTTCCCAGTAGAGCAGATTTACTTGTATATTAATGAGGCACAGGTGTTAGGCCCCTGGTGTCTGCGTGCCTGGGAGGCATATTTCAGTTGTTTATCTACTCAGCCATAGGTACTGCAAGGTACTCAAGCTTGCCTTTAACAGTTTTTACAGTGAGGCTTTTTAATTTTTTGATGTTTTTTTTCAAATTTGCCTGCACCTGTTAAAATTTTAAAACTGATCATGTAGAAAGAAGTTGCAGAGATTTCAATAGTAAATAGCACTAAAAGTTAAAGAAAGTAGTCTTCTATTATATTTAACTCCCCAGCCTGACACTAAAGAGAAATGGGTTCATTTAAACAGATATTTCATGTGAGAAGCCAATATAATCAACACTACCCTTTGTGTTGTGTATTTTTGGAGCAGGTATATCTTTGTCAGTGGCTAAAGCCGTCATATATTTATATTAATATTCATTTTTTTCTTGTTTCACTGAACTGCACTACCAACATTTTAGACGAAATGGAATAGCCTCCATAGACATTATGAATTTCAGTAGCTGGCATAATTATAGCGATCTACATATTCATTAAATCTACAGAAGAACTGTGTCCAAAAAGACAGCCATGCATTCAGAAACAGTACACAACTAAATATATACGTTTTAAAAGTTGCATTTCTTAGACTTATTTAAAATTAATTTCCTGTAGCACTCCTCTCCAAGCAGAGAATTTTAACAAAGGGATCCCCATGCTTTTGGTTTCTTGCATATAGGAAAGAATGGGAAGAACTATTTGTAAACAACAATTACTTGGCAACAATAAGGCAGAAGGGGATTAATGGGCAGCTGAGAAGCAGCAGGTTCCGCAGCATTTGCTGGAAGGTAAGAAGAAAATATTTATTTACAGTTTGTGGTTGCAGTATATCAACACATTACCTGATGCCCTGGGAGATTACCCATGCAGGGGATCACTGAATTTTCCAGGAGACTTCACTCTCGATTTTTTGGCCATCCATGTTTATCTTTCATAGGACATTTACTAATAAGGTTGAACCACCTTAGTCTCGAATAACTGGTACGGTAAAGGAGTCATTTGAAATAACTATTCTTTCATCTCATTTGATGGTGTGGAATTCAAAGCAACACCTTTGCATTCCCCAGAGGTTTTGGCAGACATCCTTGAAGGTGGGCAGGAGTAGAGGTGGTTTTACTTTCAGGTTCCTGTTGTATCCAGTGCCTGCCTTCATTGAGGCACCTTCCCTTTTCACTTCAGAAGCAGCAGATGGAAAAGATTTTTCCTCTTTCTCTCTTTCTTTCCTTTCGTTTCTTTCCTAGAAACACAAAGCAAAGGGCAGCAAGAAAGAGAAGTAGAAGAAAATTAGGTCAGTCTTTTAAGAGAAAGGGCCACTGATTACCAAAACTAGTAATAATCTGTAGTTCTCTTTTTAATTACTTGGAAATATTGTCCCTTTTTGTTCTCTCAAAATGAATTAATGCAGGTTTAGAGTTATTTCTGAAATGACTTCTACTGAAAGTTTTTTAGGTTTTATCTGCATAAATTAAGCATACAGAGTCTGTGCAAGTAAAGACAGTAAGAAACACATGATGTATTAGACAGTTTTAGATTTAATAATTTAGATTTAATAATTAAAATACATTTTTCTTCTGTTAGATGCAGGCAGTAAAGGCAGGAGACCTGCTGCTAGAATATTTGTATACAAATATTTGTGCCCCACCCCCCATTCCTTGTTGTTTAACTTTCAGTATCATTCGTTTGCTAAAAATAAACTCAAATCTAGATTTATTTTAATGTTGTATTTAAATTAAATCAAATTTGTCTTTTTAAGAATGCTTGTTATTTTCATATGCTGATTGCCAGTTGCAGATTCCATTTCTGCTGTAAAAGGAATCACTTCATTTCTCAAGCTGTGCCCTCAGGTGTTTCTTCTCTGTCCTTTACCTGCCTGTTTTAAGACAAATCTTAAGCCTTGAGATTAATGATGGGACTTTGTGTCTGTCAATAGCCCATTAATATAAGAATTTAAAATGGGAATTATACTTGAACCTCAATGAATTCTTCTTGTTCATTTTTAATATAAATTTGGAGGGGAGGTTGATTGAATTTTGTGGTGTAGCTTTTGTGATCTTGTTTTTTTGGCCTTTGTTCACTTTTTAAATTATCCAAATATGTATATTTCTTAAACATTCCCAAATATACTTTATTGGGAATTGGAATGATATGAATATGAAATACAATGAATATGAATATCTCTTTCAGTTTTCAGGTGACTCTGTTTGGCATAGTTTTACATGTTACTTGTTATGATTTTTACAAAAGTTTCCTTTTTTTTTTTTTCTCAACAGCTATTTCTTTGTGTTCTTCCTCAAGATAAAAGTCAGTGGATAAGTAGAATTAAAGAATTAAGAGCATGGTATAGCAACGTTAAAGAAATAGTAAGTTGTACTTTAATTAATATAATTGTTTTCTTATGTATGCTTTCAAGTCCAGATCAGTCCAACTCAGATCTTTGTCTTTTCTTTTTTTCTTTGCCAGCACATCACAAACCCGAGAAAGGTTGTTGGCCAGCAAGATTTGATGATCAATAATCCTCTTTCACAGGACGAAGGGGTAAAGTTCATCTTTATTCATATCTCAACTTCTTTTGCCCATAAGAATATGCTTATGAAACTGGTTATGAATCACCATGAAAGCAATGTTATTTCGTGCCAACTAATTTTTTGTTTTTTACTCTGTATACTATATGACCTAAAACCTGATGGAAATTATTCCATACTGTATTCATCCTCTGTTATAGGAAGTTTATGATGTATTACTGTGGAATGGCACTATGGAGGAGAAGTCTCAGGGGACCATAAGAACTCAGAGTAAAACCAAAGACCATAAAGAGGGGGATAGAACTGTTTTATCAAGCTTGCAGTGGGCAGTGGGGAGGCTAGGAAAGCCTCTCTTTATGATAACTTGGTGGACTCACTTGGTGATAGATAGGGCTCACTTGGTGGACTAATCCAAGAAGAAAAGTAACTATTCAGAAGTTTTTAAAGAGGGGTGCCTGGGTGGCTTAGTCAGCTAAGTATCCGACTTCGGCTCGGATTACGATCTCGCTGCCTGTGTGTTTGAGCCCCACATTGGGCTGTGTGCTGACAGCTCAGAGCCTGGAGCCTGCTTCAGATTCTGTGTCTCTTTCTCTTTCTGCCCCTCCCCGGCTCATGCTCTGTCTCTCTCAAAAATAAATAAACATTAAAAATTAAAAAAAAAAAAAAAGAAGTTTTTAAAGATAATGAAAAAGATCAGCCTGTCTCCACTCATATTCCAGTGAAGACTAAGAATAATTACTGCCTTAGAGGTATTGTGTATCTTCTTCAGTCACTGCTCTTAATTCCTGTTTCCCTGCTAACAGAAAATATTTTCCAGCTAATATCCTAATATTAGTGTTTCTTTTTTTTCCTGATACATATAGTTGTTACAACATAGTCTATAGGAGAGCTACATAAAATATTAAGTAAGTTTTAAAACTTTACTTAAATTCACATTTTAGTAGATGTTTAGGTAGATCTAAACATCTATCTGGTCATGAAACCAAGCTTTGTAGAAAAACTCCTGTGTCTTTCTTAGTGCATTGGGAGTTCAAGTGAGGTTCAAGTTGAGACCAGTTGGTCCATGGCCCTGCTGTAACCCAAGCAGACCTCTTTGTTTTTGTAAGGGAAGTAGTGGATGTATGGCAGTAAAGCTATCATTCATTTTATATAGATGATACAAAAATTTTAAATATACATACATACTATATATATGTATCACTGGAAAAATTGATGTTAGTATAAGAATGTGTTTCTGAGATTAGTTTTTAATATTTTTATTCCAATTTCAGGTTTCCTTTGCAATGTGAAATGATAACTCAGAGAAGGATAAATTTGATCATTTAAATTATTAAATGATATCATAAAAGTCAAGCAAAGGTGTGGGATTATTTTAAATAGGTTGTTTTCCTTATTTCAGAGTCTTTGGAACAAATTCTTTCAAGATAAAGAACTTCGATCGATGATTGAACAAGATGTCAAAAGAACGTATGTAGAACTTTCAGTGATACAAATTGATGTTATCTCTTTGTAACTTGGGCAAAATACAAAATCCATAGAGAAGCTCTAATTAAATGCAGTATTTTCCTTGTGTTAAAAACAAAGTTTTTTTGGCCATTTTTGGTAGTAACGATTATTTTCTATTAAAATACAGTTTCCTCTTTTTAAAAATAAATTAAAATATTGATAATCTTAAAATAATATTTAATCTTTTCAATTTTCAACAATTTTGAAGTCATGTGCTCTGATTAAGGTTATATTAGGTTGTCATAGTACTAGTATTCTTAGACAAATTTGTCTCTTGCTTTACACCTTTGAATCCCTTTCTAACCAGATTACTTTTTAAATGACAACTATTATTTTTACCCTCCTTATTTCTCTCTCAAAATCATTCAGGTTTGCAAACAAACTCTTCTCCCAGTCTACTTAGTATTTCCCGCGTGCAAGAGTTGTTTACTTAGCACATAGTTAATATCTGTAACTTTTATATATTAGGCTTCATTTTGCTGGATCATGTAGTGGTAAGTACATGGAATTTGTGTAGAAAGGTCCTAAGATAAGTTCTAGCAACACATGGTATAATCTTAGGCAGATTACTTTCAACTAATGTCTTTCCTCCTCAGTGTCCTTTTCTTTAAAATGGGAATAATAGTTAACCGCCTCAAAGGACTGTTGTAGATTAATAAACGTAGTATTTTGATACGTTTACACTTTAAACTGTAAACAATTACATAAATGTTAGTAAATTTGATCTAACCAGCGGGATCTAGGACACGCCACGTATTTGCAGAGTCATGGATATCCCTAGTGCCTTCTTCCCGGTCGTTCTGCAGCTTTGCACATCTACCCCACTGCTAGTTCAGTTCCTGCTAGACCTATTACACAACAAGGTCAAGGCCTCTGGTTCTCTGACATTCATCTCTTTCTAGGTCCCAAACACAGAATAATCAGATGACATAGACTGCTATTAAGATTATACTACATATTGGACAAATCAAATTTTCTATTTTAAAATGAAAATCAGGGGCGCCTGGGTGGCTCAGTCTGTTAAGCGGCCAACTTTGGCTCAGGTCACAATCTCGCGCTCTGTGGGTTCGAGCCCCGCGTCGGGCTCTGTGCTGACAGCTCAGAGCCTGGAGCCTGTTTCAGATTCTGTGTCCCCCTCTCTCTGATCCTCCCCCGTTCATGCTCTGTCTCTCTCTGTCTCAAAAATAAATAAACGTTAAAAAAAATTTTAAAAAAAATAAAATAAAATGAAAATCAGTGGAGGGGTGCCTGGCTGGCTCAGTCAGTAGAGCATGCAACTCTTGATCTTAGGGTTGTGGGTTCAAGCCCCACGTTGGGCCTAGAGCTTACTTGAAAGAAAGAAAGAAAGGAAGTTAGGAAGGAAGGAAAGAAGAAAGGAAGAAAGGAAAGAAGAAAGGAAGGAAGCAAGAAAGGAAGGAACAAAGAATGAATGAACAAACGTTCAGAGTATGATAGAACTGTATGTAACTGGCAATGGTGGCAGGTTGGGGAGTGAGAGGTATGGGATCATTTTGATGAGCTGAGTTATCTGGTTAACCAAGGAGTAACCGATAATAGGGAAACTACTCTCAGAGGAGCTGGGTGGCAATGCTTGACCTCTAGTATGTAGTTTCAGAAAGTAGAAAGCCATTATACTGGTGCTCAGAAGACACTCAAATATTTGTTAGAAAAAACAAAAGAATGAATTTCCTCACCAATAGTTTAAGTAACTGTATAATCAGTGGCAATAAAGCAGACCTCTTAAAAACAAAGTGCATGGTATATATTGCTGACCAAACAGTAAAGGTATCCCTTTTTTAAAACATTGGTAGGCAGTTATCTTAGAAACTTTGACATCTTCAGCTTAAAGTGGCTAATAAGAAGGATTATGACCAATCTTTCTATTGTTACCAAATGAAAAGAGGCACCATGGCACTGAGCAGAAGCACACACTCAGAGGCCCTGTCGGCCACATTGGCTAAAAGACAAAACAAACAAAGAGAAGGGGAAAATAAAGCTCAGACAGCCAAACCACATAGGAAGTGGCACTGAGAGCCTGTTGATCATTTTGGTTACTTAGCGCAAACATTTCTGCTTTGCTGTGTGAGAAAGTGTTACTTCTTGAAAACTGTGTTCTTGGAACTATTTTTTTTTTTAATTAATGTTTTTTTAATTTATTTTTGAGAGAGAGAGAGAGAGAGAGAGAGAGAGAGGGTGTGTGAGCGGGGGAAGGGCAGAGAGAGAGGGAGACACAGAATCTGAAGCAGGCTCCAGGCTTCAAGCTGACAGCACAGGGCCCGACGCGGGGCTCGAACTCATGAACCGTGAGATCATGACCTCAGCCGAAGTCGATGCTTAACCGACTGAGCTACCCAGGCGCCCCAAGAACTATTTGGTTTTATATCTTCTGTGTATTTTTCATATAAAACTGGGCGCATGTGTGTGTGTATAACACATATATGGCTGACTTTTTTTCTTATAATTGGTCTCCACTGGTACATTTTAATTCAGTTTGCAATCCTGAGATTCAGGGACGGCAGTCAGGAGACCTTATAGTTCACAGCATAGAATGGAGGGGGTTGCACATCTTCCCCAGAAGCCTCTCCCATGGTTCTCCTCCACATTTAGAGTAAGTCAGTCTCCTTGCCATCTCTGTATAAATTCTATGGCAAATGACTTAGCTTGTATGGTAAGACTGTCAATCTCACTTTAAGCCACCAAATTGCCTAATGATAAAAGCCAAATAGCTTGAATAATTATACTACTTTAGGTAATACACTCTTTTTATAAGGCACCACATGATCTAAAATCCAAGGTTTTCAATCCAGTCTGTAAAGCACCTCATTATGCCATAGGGGAAGAAAGGAAGAAATACAGCTCAGTGAATGTTATGTAGTGTTACTCATTCACTAGCATCTGCGATAAGAATTCTGTTTCTTGGAATGTATGTTTACTGAATGTCTGCTATGTTCCAGGCTTATCCTTTGCATTGTGGGAACAGAGTGGCGGATAAGACAGACAAGGTCCTGCTTTCATGGGATATACATTTTAGTGTTGGAGGGATGGGGGTGGGGTGAGACAATCAGCATGTATAGATAAAGAAGATGATTGTGGAGGGTGGTAATTGCTGTGAAGAAATAAAGCAGGGTGATAGGATAGTTAGAGGGATGGCTGTTTTAGGAACAGTGATTAGAAAAGGCATCCCTGAGAAGATGACATTTGAGCTGAGATGTGAAAAATTTTAAAAGCCAGCCCTGTGAAGATCTAGGGAAAGAATATTCCAGGCAGAGGGAACAGTTAGTGCAAAGTCCCTTCGTGAAAATATTTTGAGAAACTAAAGGGGGGGCAGGTACGGCTGGAAGCAAGCGATGTAAGAGGGGAAATCTGCGAGAAAGCAGATGCCGGTCAAGCAGTCCTGCAGGCCACAGTAAGGAGTTTGGATTTTATTGCAGTTGCAATGAGAAGCCATTGGAGAATATTGAGCAGAGGTGTGATATCTAAAAAGATCATTGTGGCTGCTGTGCAGTGGGGTGAATAGAGATCCACAAGGAAGCTGGGAAAATAGCTAGGAGTCTTGTGGTATCCCACGTTAAGTAGTGTTAGCGACTTAGACTAAAGGTGTAATAATAAAGATGGTTAGGAGTAGATAGATTGAGGATATGCAGTTTATATTTGTAAATATGGGTTAGGATGTCATTATATGTAGATTTCTCATGTTCAGTCAATTCCTTTCCGTTTTTACTGCCCTGTGTTAAGTCCTTTTTTACCTCTTTCCTAGAGTCTCTCACTTGTTTAGTTTTCTCTTCAGATTCATTCTCTTTCTCCTCTAGTCGAATCCATGTGTTCCAGCCTTATTTTCTCAAAGCACACTTTGAGTCATGCTACTTGCCTAATCTAAAGCCTTCTATGACTCTTTGTGGTCTGCGCAAGAACGGACTTACCCAGACCCCCTGACACACAGACGGTTCTCTTTTAGAGTTTTCCAGCTCTCTCTCTGTTACTGATGTCTAGTTTAACTCTATTGTGGTTTGAGAGCAGACTTTGCATGATTTTCTCTCTGCCAAATTGCTTAAGGTGTGTTTGTGGTCCAGAATGTGGTCTCTCTTGGTGAATGTTCCCTGTGAGTTTGAGAAGATTGTGTATTCTGCTGTTGGTGGTGGAAGAAGTACATAAATATTAGTATATTCAGTAGAATTATGATGTTGAGCTCACCTATATCCTTCTGACTTTCTGCCTGCCAGATCTGTCCATTTCTGACGGAGGGTGTTGAACTTGCTAACCATGATAGTGGATTTTTAAATTTCTCATTGCAGTTTTATTAGTTTTTGCTTCACACAGTTTGATGCTCTCTTGTTTAGTGCATACATGTTAAGGATTGATATGTCTTCTTGGAGAACTAACCCCTTTATTGTTAGCTAATGCCCCTTTAAAAAAAATCTTCTAATTAGTGTTGGCATGATATATTTTTCTTCATTTATTTACTTTCAATCTAAATGTGTCTTTATATTTAAAGTTTATTTTGAGAGAGAGCAAGAGCGTGCATGTGCACACATAGGGGAGGGGCAGAGAGAGAGAGAGAGAGAGAGAGAGAGAGAGAGAGAGAATCCCAAGCAGGCTGTGCACTGTCAGCCCAGGGCCCTGATGTGGGGCTCTATTCCATGAACCGTGAGATCATGACTTGAGCCGAATTCAAGAGTTGCTTAACCGACTGAGCCACCTAGGCACCCCTGAATGTGTGTTTATACTTAAAAGTGGGTTCCGTCTAGGCAGCATATATAGTTGGGTCCTGTTTTTGATCAACTCTGATGATCTCTTTTAGTTGGCGCATTTAGACCATTGACCTCTAAAGTGATTATTGATACACTTGGATTATTATCTATCGTATTTGTTATTCTTTTCTATTGGTTACCTTGTTCTTTGTCTTTGTTCTTTGTTCTTTGTACCTTGTTCTTTGTTACCTTGTTCTTGTCCTGTTACTGTCT